TCCTCCCTGTTTCAGAACACTGACTTGAAAAACTTTTGCTTTTGTGTATAGTTTACTTCCTGTGTACATAATCTATCCAAGTCTATGGGCTCTTATTTGTCTGATGGGGATACATACATTTCCTTGTCCTGACAAAAAAGAACCTTTGTTCTTTTACTATTTGAGAACCGCAGTTAAACATGTATATTTGACTTTTCACATGTAGTTCATCCTGCGATATATGGTGTGTGTTTTTTAAGCTGCTCGTTGATTAGATTTCATTGCTGAACAGAAGAAGTGCAGGTTTGCTTTAACGATGTAAAATATATTGTCCTTTTGGTGTCAGTGCTGTGTGATTTTAATCGGTCTTCGACGCCATATGCTGGTGTGTTTTGTTGCGTTTGACTGCATTCCAGACATGAAGAAAAGATAACTTTGATTCAGGAATTGTGGTCGGAAAAATATACGGCCCATGCTATTCTCATTCGAGACTGCTAATGACATTTAATGTATAAATATGCTAGTTTGTCACTCATGAAATATGCAATAAAATTTATATATTTTTAAAATGTCTCAGATTTTATGGTGTAATTCAGTGTTTATAATGACCGTGTTTTTGGTATCTTGTGGTGTTTGTAAATTATGAAGTAAGGATTACGCAGAATATTTTTTTCTTCTGAAAAAAAGTTCCTATTAACATAGTAAAGTAGATTTAGCCAGCTGCCCAATATATAGCTGCAGTTACTAATGACAAAATAAAGGTTGCATGATTCTGTTTTATTACCAAGCTGCCTAGTTCTGCCACCATAGTGGCTGGGGAAATATTAACAGATATTGATTGGCAACTAGGGAATGCAAGACAACATAAAAATTGAAAGCTATAGTTAACATGTCGCAAATCCAATCTGTGACCTCCAAATGATGCTAGCTCACTGCTGAAATGTGTGTACTAAACACATGACCAGCTTTCGCTTTGTTTGATTTTTTCCATGTTCTCTCAGCTTTGCTGCAGTTCACTAATTTTAACTTTGAAAGAAGTCAGAACATTATCTAGAATTTTTTATTATACTTCTACTCCATAATATATCTGGCATCTTCATTTTACTTCTACTCAGTAATATTATCTGGCATCTTCATTTCACTTTTACTCAGTAATATTATCTGGCATCTTTACTTCACTTCTACTCGGTGATATTATCTGGCAATTGAAGTTAACATTCAAAATAACAGAACACCATACATTTTATTTTTTTTTATTTTTTATGACATCTGGGGGCAGGAGAGTTAATACAGATAAAGTAAAAAAAAAAATTTTTGTAAAGCTATACTATGATAGTCCGAATCCACCACTGGCATGGGAATGGGATGCATCGGTGCTGAACCACACATGGCTGGCAATGTTGATGGCACTGATGTTTCCTTTGATGTTGGCGTGTATCTGAATGAGAGGGAAGGAACACATTTATAATTTCCCTTTTTTTTTTTTTGACTTCATCGGCTTTAAAAATCTGGTGGATTGTCTGGTTGTTCCTCCACCTCCGGACTTCGTCTTGTTCCCCAGATCAAGTTTTGCTTGCACGTCCATTTAACAGGTCTGGCTTGTGTGTATGCAGGCCGTTGGTTCCTTCCCTCTCATACAGATACATGCCAACCATGTGTGGTTCAGCACCGCTGCATCCCATCCCCCCGTGCCACTGGTGGGTTTGGACCATCGTGCTATAGTTTTTTTTTTTTAATCATTTTCAATAAAGTAAACTTATCTATATTAACACTCCTGCTCCCAGATGCCACAAATGAAACGAAAAAATAAAGAACATGTATGGCACACAAATCTGTTCAGTTATTTTGAATGTTCACTTCAACTGCCAGATAATATCACCGAGTAGAAGTTAAGATGCCAGATAATATTACTGAGTAGAAGTAAAATGAAGATTCCAGATAATATTACTGAGTAGAAGTAAAGTAAAGATGCCAGATAATACTGAGAAGCAAAATAAAGTTGCTAGATAATATTACTGAGTAGAAGTAAAATAAAGAAGCCAGATATTACTGAGTAAAATGAAGAACCCATTTTACTATATTTCACATCATATGATGCTACTCTTTTATAGGCCAGTTGGCCCTCAGTGATTGATGTAGTCAATATCATGCCAAAAGCCTTTTCTTCCTAGGACTCTACCTGGTGCTCATTTTAGGCTTGGTCAACCTGGGTGCCAAGGTCATTTTTGCTACCAGATAATGACTCAGTGCTGATTCCAATAACTATTCTGCCCAAAGGCGGTGTAAAGCTACTGTGTCACCGTGGCCCCAAAACGGTAATATTAAATATAAATGTTTGAGGGAAAGTAGGAAACATTTCACAGATTTCTTTCCTTTCTTAAGTTTACTGGCTGTAAACTCCAGCAGAATGTTCTAGATCTTCATCCACTTTTGGGCTTTTAGTCTTCTTCCAGAGCTTGAGTTTTGTGTGCACATCCGTTTTACATATCTGGCCTATATGTATGAAGAAAGTTGGTTCCTTGCCTGTCAGGCAGCTGAACTCACTTTAAAGGAAACACCCTTAATTAACACAATTTTACGACATACTTGTTAACGGGGCAGTGGATCTGGTCTATTCTCTGCTCCACCACAATGGGGCTGCGGGGCTGACCCACAAGGGAGGAGACTACAGCCAGTGAGCACAAGAACTGGAATAACTAGTGTTCTGTTTTGCAAGGTACATGGCAAGTTATATCCAGAAATGCTTAGTTCCCCGGTAGATCAAATGAATACTAGCTCTTTTATCACCTGTTAAACATGCATACATCTAACAACTATAGCACAGTGGTTCTCAATTTTCCTAATGCTCAACCTCACTTTGTGGTGACCCCCAACCATAAGATTGTTTTCGTTGCTTCTTAACTTCAGTGGATATGTGTTTTCCTGGTGGTCTTAGGCCACCTCTGTGAAAGGATTTTTCGACCCCCAAAGGGGTTGTGACCCACATAAGGAGAACTGCTGGTCTAACACATCCACACAATCATGTGGCAGTGATTCTCATCTGTCTTCTCTTGGTCATTTGAACTCAAACTTTCATAGTACAAGAGTGGCGTCTCTTTGACTTCTGCTAGCTTTTATATGCATACATAGTTTGACCCAAAAGTAATTCACAAGTTTATAACCACATACAGCGTTTATCATTACGATTTCTACCATCACTTTGATTTTACAATGTGTAAGTAATTTGCACCACTACATCACCTTAAAAACGGTCAGTTGAACATCAGTAGGTTGAAAGACTATACCTGGATCCAGACTTTTGTGCAAATGTCACAGCCATGCTGTAAATGAACACAACGCAATTACATCTTTTGGATGAACGAAGAAAAAGAAGAATCCAGACATTCAGTTTATCTGAGTCCTGAAAATAGCCTTTCAGCTTTCACAGAGACTTTGCTGCTCGCTTAACAAACTGTTACAGTGTGGTTGGTTTTCTATAATTTCCCTCCTGTCATGCAGGAACCAGCAGAATGTATAATATCAATTCTTGAACTTTACTTTGGAGGAAGAGCAGTCTGTGGAACCTAAGCCAAACTGGGATGTACATTGTAACGCTGCTGCGAAAAACATAAATTATGTGCTTTCTCTGCTAATGAAGTTTGGCTACAGTGTACCAACTACTATCTCTAGGAAATAACTCAGTGAGGTCCTAGTCTCTTCCACGGTGCAACTCTTACTTTATTGTCTGAACAAGACAATGTAACTAGAAATTAATCCTCTGAACTGTCATTAAGAAGCTTGGAATCAGGAAAGGGGAACAACATGCACACACAATTTTTGATTGTTTTTTTTTTTTCTGATTGTTGAATTTAGAATCGACATCATAGCACTCGAGACACTTCCATAAGCACTCCGTCCCTATCTTCAGCAGCAGGCGAAGAGTTCCAATTCCGATGGCACCAGTAACTGCCTGATTGTAAATCTGTCTTGTCCTTCCCCTAATCTAGCCTTCATGACCCAATCCTTGAACAGTTAGTAAAGCCACTGTCCTGTACCTGGAACTCCACCGTTTACACAAAAGAATCTTAGGAAAGCACGAGGGATCCTATTTTCCTCTTCTGTTCTGTACACCGCCCTTCCCTTTTGCAAATGTTTTGGTCTGCGGTTTCTTGAATTTTGAGAGAGCAGGTCCATTGGATTATTACAGTTAAATATCTTTTTCCTGATCCTCAAATGTATCAATATTCAAAGTGTAGACTTAAAGTGGTCACGTTTAGTAAAAAAAAATAATTTGTTTAAACATATCAGTATTAATACCCAAATGTCTTAAATGAAAATAATGAACATTTATGACACACTAATCTGTAATCTGTTCACGTTTAAAAGTGCAGTTGCCAGATAATAATGTGTAGAAGTAAAAAAAAAATGAACCATTTTTACACCGGGCATGTGATGCCAGACTTATTTTGGTACTTTCTATTAGCCGACCACAAACGGTGGAAATCTATAGGTCATAGGATAGTCAAAAATTTCAGGGGATGGTAGATTAAGGGTATAGTTTTGGTTTGGTTAGAGTTAGGTTAAAGCGCAGAAAACCGGCTATTACAACCTTCTAAAATATTCGACTGGCCTGTGACGTCATTTGTGGTCAGCTTTAAAAAAAAAGCACCCTTATTTTTTTAGTCTTATTTTTATAGTATTATCTATTTCAGTCTCAAATAATGTTTGCCTTACATACCCAAATGGATAATAGCTACAATGAAAGAAGTATGTGTATGTTACTTTTAAAGAGATAGCATATACTGTGATGCTTGTTAACATGTCTAGCCAGATTTCTTCAGCATGCTAAGACCAAGTGTAACAAATACTGTTTGATACACACTGGCTTTAACTGATCACACACACTGTGCCCTGCTTGGGACAGCTAGAGTACTACCAACACCAGTGGTCAGTTGTAATCTTGTAACAAAAAGAACTATCCTGTCCTCTTTACATGAAGTATATTGCATAGTTTGTGCTGATTAGACTGTTCTTTTCCTCAGACGTGATGAGCTTATGGTCAGAGGATGAGTGCAGGAACTTTGAAGATGGACTTCGACTCTATGGCAAAAACTTTCATGAAATTCATCACAATAAGGTTTGACAACTCTTCCAGTTTTAAGATATATTGAGAGTTGGTCTGCTTTAATACGGTAAATAGATTTTTCTGTATATGGCTGCTGCTTATGAGGCAGTCCAGGAGGATGGTGAATTGATAGCGTCTAGGGGAACCTACAAACACTTGGAGGCAGCAAATGGGAAGAGAGAGCCAGTAGCAGGGATAAATGCAGGCAGGTGGTAGCCGCAGCAATGAACCTCAAGGGCTCTGGATGCTGATGAAGAGAAAGATCTGTAGAATATCATATTACTACCACAGAGGTCAAGAGTTCACACAGACTTCTGAGTGGTATGAGTCTGAAGATAAAAATCATCATGTGCCTTGCCAAACTGGCATGGGCGATCATGCCTCCAGAATTTGCGATCCGCAATTGCATGTATCACTTTTTGTGTTGACACCCCTCCATACCATGACAAAAAAAGCTGTCACGAATCTTCTTGCACTGTGTTCCTTTGTCGCTCTTTCCACAAATCTTTCCAGTGGTTACAACATGTTCCATATTCCCTCTTATCATAACAAGACCAAAAAATGATGACTGCCTCTTTCTGATAATTGTGGTAAGTTGTCTTCGAGCACCTGCCTCTTTCAAAATGTCTAGGTTGCTCTTCTTAGTTGGCCAAGAAATTATAAGGATTATTTTGTAAAAAACCACATCTCTGAAATTGTTTATTAATTTGGCCTGTTCAGGATTCACAGCCGTATGGCTCTATATAGCATGCCAGATTGTTTCATAACGTCTAGTGACATACATTAATGCACAAAATGTTTTTTTTTTTTTTTTTTTTTATAAAAGGCAGTTTTGGCCTCACCTATTCCGTTCTTACCTCTGTGGTACATCTTCCATTGGAAGTTATCCGTGTGCCGAGATACTTGAATTTCTGTACCTGTTCTAAAATTAGGCTTTTGATACATTCAGGCACTATTCTTTTCTTGGAAATCATCATTACTTCTTTCTTCCCATTATTCAAACTTAAGGCCTTTTTATCACTTTCTACCAACACCATATCTTAATTCCTGTAGTTCTTTCTGACTTTCGCTATCAAGACGGTGTCATTAGCATAACACAGGTTTATATTATGACCACCAACTACTATTTCTGGTATATCCATGATAAATCTCATTATTTATTAACTGTATCATCATCATCAGTTCTCGTTATGCCTAATGGCACATGAGGCTTCAGAGAGGACTTTCCATGCTTTCCTGTCCTGTGCAATCTTCAGTGCAGTTTTCCATGTCAAAGAGGCCGCACTCAGGTCACTTTCCATCGTTCGTCTCCATGTTGTTTTTGAGCGCCCCTGTTTTCTCTTTCCCTCTGGTGTCCATGTGAGAGCTTTTTTGACAGGTATATCATAAGTCATTCTCATAACGTGGCCAAGCCATTTCCATCTTCTCTTGATAATCATACTATCTAAAGTTTCTTGGTTTGTGGCTTGAAGTAGTTTAGTGTTTGAGATTGTATCTGGCCAGAAAATTTTGATAATTCTACGTAGACATGTGTGGTGGAAGGTGGACAGCTTGTGTGCATCCTTTTTGGTCATTCTCCAGCATTCCGCTCCATAAAGAAGAACTGGCAAAATGATGCTCTTGTAGAGTCGGAGTTTCGTTCCTCTGCAGTAATTGTTGGATTTCCAGATTTGCCTCATCCTTCCAAAAGCAGCTCTAGCTTTGTTCAGACGTGACTGTATGTCTTCCTCTGTCCCTCCCAGTAGGGACACCACACTGCCAAGATATGTGAAATGTTCTACATTTTCAAGTGATTGGTTACTTATGGTCACTGGTTGTTGGTTTGGACTGTTTGTCATGATCTTAGTTTTCTTTGTGTTTATTCTCAGTCCCGCCATTTTTGCTGTGCAGTTTAGTCTGTTACTTTCCCTTGTATATGTTCATGTTTATGTGATAGGAGTGCTATATCATCTGCAAAATCAAGGTCCTCAAGCATGGTGAATGGAGTCCATCGTATGCCTCTTAATGTACTGTCTGCTGTGTTCTTTAGTATCCAATCAATCAAAAGGTTGAAGAGGAGAGATGACATAACACATCCCTGTCTTACACCCGTCTTTACTGGGAAAGATGTATTGTAATTTTTTATACTGCAGGAAAAGTCTTTATAGAGGAGAGCAATTATGTTAACTATTTTTTCTGGAATTCCATAATGTCATAAAATTTTCCACAGACCGTCTCTATGGACGCTGTCAAAAGCTTTCTAAAAGTCCACAAAATTAATATATATAATTCTCTGCCTTTCGTTGCATTGTTCTAAAATGTTACGTATGGCGAAGATGTGGCAGAGGAACAACTGAGCACATCTTCGCCATTCACTGTATAATGAAAACTAATCAGGTGATAGTACACATCTTTGTCGTACTCCCCTCTTTATGATCTGAAATGTTGCAGAATGGTTATCCATTCTTTTAGCTGCTGTTTGCTGCTTATTACGTGTTCTTTATAATTCGTAAATCTTATCCATCAACGTTTTCCAACAGTTTGATTATTTCTTCATGTCACACAATCAAATGCTTTTGTATAGTCAATGAAGTAAAGATTTTTAAATTTTTTTTTTTTTACTTCCGTAGGTCATTCCGAAAGATTCCTGACGATGTATATAGCATTGTTTGTACCCTTCCCTTCTTTAAATCCACACTGCTCTTCACTAATTTCTGGTTTAATCTTGTTTCTTATTACTCTCATAATTATTCTCAGTAACATTCGTGTATAAATTTTTTTTAATATAATTTTATTTTTGAGCTTCTATGTTTGTTTTCCATTGGTGGTCTGTGGAAAAACATTTAAAGGGTCTATGTTATGATTAATTTATTTCGGGAAGACAGAATCTTATTGGCAGGGGACTGCAACTGTCTAGAGAGCAAACTCGATAAAAGCTGTCCCCAGAAACGTTATATGTCAACAATTTTTTTTCGTTGGGAGGAATCGACACATAGAGTGAACTCAGTGGCCATGGTCGGATGGAGTAGAAAACTAGACTACACAAAAAAGATGATTACTTCAATGTAATGATGAAATAAACTAAACGAATGTAACTGTAAGAGACAGGATCAGAAATGGTGATGTCAGGAGAGAACTTGGGACAAAACCAGTATTAAACTACATCAAGAGACAACAGATCAGATGGTTTGGACATGTGTCAATACTAGCACCAGACAATGCTCCACAGAAAGTTCTGTCAGTTAGACATAGTGGAAGCAGATCCTCCTTCTTCAGCGATCTTTGGTCATGCGCATAATCCACTGTGGGCCATAAACTGAGATGTCTTTTCAAGGTCTCTTAGGTTTTCCCAAAGCTTAGTTGTCAGTTCTACTGGGTGTTGCCAAATGTTGCTCCGCAGCTCCGCCAAGAAAGGACAGTCTTGCAGGACATGTTCTAGAGTCTGTTCAGCATGAAGACACTGACTGTTTGGCTCATACCTAATATATTTGAGGACATAAAAAGGAAACCTACACAGCACATACCAAGGCTCTCACCCGATGCCTCTTCGAAACCGGGTGCTGAAAGGCAATACAGGAGGACTAGAGAAGAATAAGAATGATAAAGTAATCATTTTAAAGTTTAGTTCTGAAATGGATAGAATGGAATAGAGGATTGGGATATGAGCCCTGAGTGATATGTAACAGCAGAACAGGATGCTGATTCTGGCATTACTAATCTGTATGTAATAGATAACTAGCTTTTTCTATGTTAATCCTAAATAATTTATGAATAACTAACAGAGCAATTTTTGTTTCAGGTACGGACAAGATCTGTGTATGAGTTGGTTCATTTTTATTACCTCTGGAAGAAAACTGAGAGACATGATATCTTTGCTGCAAAAACCAGAGCAGAGAAGAGGAAATATGCACTCAGTTCTGGTGCAATGTAAGCATTGTTCTTTCTCTTTGTAACTTGCTTGTCGGAAGGGAAGGGGGTGCGTGGTGAAGTGGTCAAGTTGATTGCCTCATGCTCTGAATGTCTTGGGTTCGTTTGAAGGCTGCACCATTGGGTTTATGCATAGAATTTCTACAGTGACCTCTAGGGATCCTCGCTAGAGCTGTGTAACTGCTTTTTACAGCAGGTGGGATAAAACCCTGGGCAATGAGTGCTAACCTCGACTTTAACCTTTTTAACCTGTTTGTCACTTTTCCCTCTGCTCAAATATAGCACAGTGGTATCTTTATTTTCAAACATGTTTACCTGTGTTTAGAAGCCTGCATTGTTTACTCTTTATTCTTCTGCCCTTTCATTCCCTCACATGGGCATAGGCCATAGACCAGCTAATGTGAAACCGCTTGTCCCTGTGACCTAGAAAAAACAGTGCAAAAGACCTGTTGGAATTTAAGGTTTCCTGACAAAGGTATCTCTTAAAAAAATTATGGCCATCTTCCGAATAACGGTCCCAAATTATCTAGGCCGCTACGCCCGGCGTGTGAGATACTCGTGGCGGTAGTCGCCGAAAGTCCGCAATTGACACATGACTGAGGCCCTGTTAGGGTAAATTTTCAGCCTCGATAATTTGGGACCGTTATACGGAAGATAGCCAAAATCACCATTTTACACTGGTCACACATGCACACCATAACAGTTCCATTTATGGACCAGAACAATATTTAATTGCATACAAAATAATGAGTAATATATGAGCACCAGTGGGAACATAAAAATGTTCCGCATTGACCTCTCTTGAAACTGACCCAGCTGACAGTTACCACCGTAACTGTAAATTGTGATGAGTGAGATTCAATCCCACCAGGACATCCACAAAACGTTAAACACCAGGTGACACAAAGTGCCACCATGCAGATAAGGATCACCCTGAAAGGTTCCAGAAACCCTGTTTAACCCATAGGTTGGGTCATATTAGGGCCTCCGCAGCAGCCAGAGTGGGCCTTTTAATCAACAAAAAATTGTGTTCGATATTGGACGCAGTTAGTAAATTCTGATGTCCTAATTTCTATAAATAAAGCAATTTTCCACAAGGAAACCCCACGTAAATGCTGGTTTTCATTCTTAAAAAAAATTACCTGGGGAAAAAACAGGAAGCCATTAGCGGAGCTTCTAGTAAGCTAGCAAGCTGGGAAAAGGACATTTACATGGCCATGGCACAAACCAGAAGCGCCAGGTTTAAGTGCATCTCTGGATCAATCCCTTAGCAACACCTGCAGGTCACTGCTTGTCATCCCCATCTTCTTCTTCTGTGCGTTCACCGGCTGTAAACTCCGGCGGAAACTTCTGGGTATTTGTCCATCACTGTTCCAGAACCTGAGTGTTGTGTGCACATCTGTTTGACACATCTGACTTAATTGTATGCAGATTGTTGGTTCCTTGACTCTCCGACAGATGCACTCCCACTTCAAAGGAAGCCTCCAGTTAGTCAAATCTTACAACAAGCTTGTTGGGGAGGCAGTGTGTCTATTCTTGTCTTGCCCTCACAATGGGGCCCCGGAACCCACATGGCGAGCCTCCTCCCCCTATTATTTATACACCTGTCTTCCATCCCTCTCTTCATTTGTACATGTCTGCGTAATTCCTCTTTGCCCTGCCGTTATAGTTTGTATCTCTCTCTTCTTCTGCATTTGCCTTTAAGAGAGTGGTTGATATATTGTGTTGTGGTTCACAGCTTGGCTGCGATATCTGCCTTTTGACCCAGCCCATTTATTTCTCATCTCCCTGAAAACTCACCTTTTACAACACACTTGTTAGCCGGTAAGGGTATCTTTTTAAGGCAAATACATCAGAAGAACAATATCGTTACCCAATGTTCTCAGTGTACTGTTGTAGCCGATTCCATCATTGCTTCTGCTAATACTTTTTTTTTTTTTTTTTTGGTCACTCATGTGTTACTGAATCCAGTAAGGAAAGCGAAGAATAGTAATACTAACCAGCCATTGGTCATTGTTGCTTGTAACATTGATATGCCTTTTTTTTCCTTTCATGGGATTTCTTGTTTTCTTTTAGAGATCACATGGATCGTTTCCTGGAGGAGCAAGAGCTGGAGCTGAACCAGCTAACAGCACCTCAGATCTCGGAGGCAAAGACGGAGGCTAATGATGATGAACACACCAAGTCCAACATTGGCATTTTCAACACAGGCAAAACAACAATTTTGTCCCCCTCTCGGCATGCAGAAAAAACCCTTAGCTCTTCAAAGCGTTCTCACCCAAACCACCTTGAATTCAACGGCAGCAATTCTGCAGAGTATTCATCACCCAAAAAGCTTAAGGTTGACACCTCATCCTGTGAAAACCCCACTCCAAAGAAGCAGAAACTGCATGAAAACGTGCCAGAGTCCAGTCGAACTGTTGAGATTAATAGCTCGTCGTCTGCACCCACGTCATTACCCATCACTTCCACATCTGTCAGAAGTCCTAGCAAAAGCCACCACTCTTCAGAGCAAGGGAGTGAGCCTAAACACATAGCTGCCACAGCCTCAGCGGTAGCAGGCGAATTACCAAATCAAGACACTGACAACAGCATCTCCGGAGTGGCACAGTCAACCTCAGCAGATATATCACTGACCAAGGAGATTTCCGAGGCATCCGGCAATTTGTCAGGCAAATATGGAGGTGTGGTTACAAGTGTTGGCAGCAAGTCTTTAACTGAAGGAGGCGATAAACATGCACCGTGCATTACAAATTGTATTTAAATACCTGTTCACAGACAATTTGCTTGTTAAATATATTCACAGATTTGATGGTGCATATTCTGGGGGGTTTTCTGCTGTGTTGCTAAAAACCACATATGAAGAATTACATTTAACTTTTTTTAGTCGAGCTGATAAAAAGAAGTGAATTCCCTGAAAATAAAACTATTGACCAGAAAGCTTAAATGTCATCAGTCGTTTTACATTTGTAGAGCTTTTGAGGAGTGGGAGAATCGGGACACTCTATGGATCAGTCAGCGGAGCTGCGGAGCGACATATGGCAACACCCAGTAGAACTGACAACTAAGCTTTGGGGAAACCTAAGAGACCTTGAAAAGACATCCCAGTTTATGACCCACAGTGGATTATGCGCATGACCAGAGATCGCTGAAGAAGAAGGATCAGTCAGCGATGTAAGGGTAATCCTCCCTGACCACTAGACACTCAACGAGGGTCACCAAAACACATGACACCCTCTGTTTGGGGCTGAGGCTTAGAATAATAATTCTTTTTTTTTGTCTTTGTAGTCCATTTTGTGTGGTGTTGGTTATTATGTCTGTCTACAACCTTCTTTCTCATGTGCTTTCAGTCAGTTCTCACACAGATGATCTTCCATGCCATGAGTGACGTCAGACTGTTCAGCATCTTCTCTCTCTGTTTCCTCCGGCCTCTCTCCCCCCTCCAACTTTCCCGCCTTTACAATATACTCCAGTTTTCTAATGACATGACCAAAGAATGTAGCTTGTCTCCTGGTGTGAGCTATCAGTTCTCCTCATATCTTCATTACTCTTTTTATTCTGTCCAGGGTATTCTGATTATGTGTCACATCTCGGCCGCTTCCAAATATTTGTTATACTAATCATTCAGCTGTCCGTGTTTAATTTCTATGTATCAGGATTTCTGTCCATCAAGATAGTATTTATATAGTGCTTGAAAACATTTTATGTACCTTTTTGACATAGTCATTTATATGATTTCTGTTTAAATGTTCAGTTTTCTCTGCACATTCGTCCTTTCCCTTCCCCTCATTTGTGTTTAGTTCAGTGTAAGTTTGTGTCAGGATTTATTTCATGTCCATCATGTCACTGCAGTTTTGTGAAGATTCCCTTTTTACTTATTGTACATATTTGCAGCAATTTAACCTTTTGAATTGTCCAGATTCTTTTTTTTTTTTAAACATATTCAGCTATAGATGGAATGTTTATTTCATGTATGTGTGTTGATATAGTTATTTATGAAATCATTTTACATTAAAACAATTTGAATTGTAATAAGTACAGAAAGCAATTGATAATGCTGGGAAACTGTTATGAAGATGTGAGTGGTGTATTTAGGGAGAGGAAAGGTGGTGAAGACATAGATAGAATAGTTATTTCATGTTAGTATGGCCATGGCCATTGAGTTAACCGTATGTGTCGATTCCTCCCCACCAAATATATGGTTGACACATTCCGTTTCTGGGGACAGCTTTTATCGAGTTTGCTCTCTAGACAGTTGCAGTCCCCTGCTGACGAGATTCTGTCTTCCCGAGTGGACCGCCGCGATCAAAACATTGCGAAGGCAGCGTGGTCGAGGCTGCCAAAACTATCGGTCATTATCCCGCCCCGACACAGCACAACCACAATACACGCTGTTCCCACGAAAAACACATAATATCCTGCGTTGGAGATGCGCATAAAATAGCAGTCCATGATTATAGAACAGAACAATCCGAGAGAATTGACAGCCAGCGACAATAAACACAGCTGCTGTCCGCCATTTTGAAAACGGAAGTCATGTTAGTATAAAGGAGACTTTTTTTGCCTTGGGCACATCAGATCTATAATAAAGTTAAAAAAGTAAAGGCTCTTGTCACTACTTCTGTGCATCGGGTGTAATTCTAGACCTATTGTTTGTATAGATCAGTCAACCCTTACTGTGTGTGATGTACCAACATATCTTGACCACCTTTACTTCCCAGGACCCATTTCGGGCTGGCCCCTCCTTAGAGCCGAGGTCTGATTTTCTTCTACATCGTTAATACAAAGTGCAATGTGCCTGTTTACAGCATAGTGAGGGGAAGGACCCTTTTCCACGTCTTTAGGCATATAGGGCTAGACCTATATTTTATAGACCAATCGGCACAAGATGGGTGATGAGGTGAGCATCACGCCAGTCGCCTTAACTTCCTGGGACTGCATTTGGTACCCACTTAAGGCTGGGTCGACCTGGGAGCAAGGTCATTTTTGAAACTGCCAGGGAGCGAACCCAGTGCCTTCTGATACGCAGGCGAGCGTCTAGCCGCTCTGCCACGGCGACTCCCCCTGTTAGCATAGCTGCGATATTTGCACCTTTAAGCCGACACATCTGACTTTATTGGGCATTTATTCGCCAGGCTAACTTTCCCATTTGGGTTCATGGAATATGATGTAGCCTTTGTGTGATGTCCTCCTTGTCCCTTTATCTACAGGTGCTGCCCCCTAGAGTACCCGTCCAGGGCAGCCGTGTGTAGACTGGTTGACCTTAAAGGAAAGGCAGGGGCAGATAATGGGCATTCCTCACCATCAAAGGAGGCTTCCATAAATGTTGCTCTTCTAAGCGGCGAGCACATTTTACTTAGGGCTGAGTCTCAGCAGTTCGCATTAAGATGGTTGCTCAGCTGATTACTGCACCCCGACAGATGACATTTGAATCTACGAAGCAGTTAAACTGGACTTTCAGTCAGACGTTTAAACCAAGGTGTGTCATATAGTAGGATATTCGGCCGAGGGGCTTCCTTCGCTCAGTGCTCCAAATGAGTTTTGGATGGGCATTATCAGCCATGAATTGGGGGTAGGCTGATGAGAGCTAGAGGATTTCTGGACGTGCATCTTGTGAGTAGGGCAACCAACTTTAAGATGATCCCCTGCAAGCTCGCTTTAGGCCGATGGCCATGCTGCTTGTGTTGATATAGTAATTGGTGAAATATTTGTCAAATCTGTTTTGCATTAAATTATTGGAATTTAGCTGTGACAAGTACGGTCATCTGTTTAACTTGGACAAATTGTCGGGGGGGGGGGGGGATGGAAGGGGAGACAATAATGAAATTAAAAGAATGTTGATTCAATATATGTGTTCATAAAAATCACTGAAAACTTATCTTTTATTGAACTATAGTTCCGATGCCCCTTTGCATGTGTGGGGGGAAAAGGGGGGGGGGGGGGGGTAGACTGACTGCATCCTTAACAAGCATGATGTAATCAGAGGCATTTCCTTCAAAGGTGGAATAGCCTGAGTGTCGGGGAACAAAGAGTCTGCACACACACACAAGCCAAAAATGTGCATGCAGAACTCATTCTTGAACAAGGCTTAAGTCCAGAAGTGGATGAACAACTAGAACTTTCTGTACAGCCGGTGGGCGCTAAGAAAAACAGAGTGAACTATTTTAATTGTAACTATAGCAGAACAAGACAGTTGTTGATGATCGTTTAATTGTAAAACTCATGTCAGGGGAACATGGGGATAGAGAAGATGATTAAAATAAAGATGTGGGCTCTGTCCACAAGTAAAGATGGCTACAGTGTACCACTGCTGCCTTTAGGAATATTATGTGGTGAGTAAAGTAAACAGGACCCATTTTCATTCCTTTATGCACACTGGGTATATAGGGCTAGACCTGTATGTTATAGACTAATCGGCACTCGGTGTGTGATGTTGTCAACATCATTCCGGCTGCCTTTACTTCCCAGCACTGCACCTAGTGCCCATTTAAGGCTGGAGCTGATAGCATTTTTTGAAAGAAAAAAAGTCTGGCTCCATCAGGACCTGAACTAGGACCTTCTGAACCACAGGTGAGTGTCTAGTCACTACACCACTACAGCTTCCATTATGTGAGCAGGCTTTGATTTGCTCCATAGTGTGACTTACAAATCACTGCCTGAAAACCACATAAGTGAGTTTTTTAATGGACTGCCTACCTTGGAACTTTACACCTAGTGCTTGAGCATCATAAAATTCCTAAATGCATTCACCAACCTCTGAGTCGAGGAGCTGCACAGGTGAAAACAAATAACCTAAGATAGATGTAGCATCTGTTTCAAAAAATGCAGGCTTGGTAATCACAGTGAATAAATAAAATTGTCATCATTGTCATCACCGTTTAGCAAATTCTGGATAGGGCACTGCTTACATAAGGCCTGCCATTAAGGTTCTCATTACTTGTAAATTAACTGAATGCAGTTTTTGGTACTTTGTTGCAGGATGTGTTTTTTTCTTTCTCTTTTCCATCTCTCCCTCTATTCTTCTCTCCAGAGCATATCAGCTGTTGAAATGTGGTTATACAGCTGGAAAGAAGAGATGCCATGGCTGGAAGGAAAACCATAACTAGATAAAATGTTACTGAATGGAATTGCGGTCGGTCAGCCAATTTTCAGCCATGTAAGGTTTATTTAAAAGGAAGGGTACTTAATGGTGATGGTTAAAAACCAACTGCCTAAATATTGAAGTTGAAAATCTGGTGTTTGTGTTGTTTTAAATTATAATTATATAATTGGAACCAAGCAGTTTTGTTCTTCTAATGAAATCTTAACAAAGAACAAAGTTCCTGGTAGGTAATGTCAAATATGTTTGAAAAATTGTTAAATAAAAATGTATCATGATTTTTTGTTAGACATTTCAAGATACTATTGTTTGCAGCCAAACATTTATATAAATTGCATTTTCTGATTTTTCTCCTCCTTTATCACGATATCAACGCCTGTAATTTATAATTCGTTTTTTGAGTTCACGGGTACTTCACTGCTTGGTATTGAGATTCGAATAAGTATTAGAACTCCTCCCTTGTGCCCTTCTCAGTCACAACGATTAGCTTGTTATCCCCTGAATGAAAAGCTGTGATGGGCTTTGAGATGTCTCTCTTGGATATGTGTCACATCAATTTGGTCTTCATGAAGGCTGTTTGTTCGAGACAACACTTTTTTATTTTGGACTCCTTCAGCATTCCACTGTAGTATGTTGAGTGTTCTGGAAATTCTGTCAATAGTTTT